CCTGCCGTAGGACCATTTGTGCTTTGTCGGGGAGAGCAGGTGGCTGTGAAAATATGGCAAGAGTTCAGCCTGTGGAAAGTGCATGCGCCCTGAGCTCACACCAGGTGACTGTACAGTCCTTTCCTTATTGACAATAAAAGAAGACTCTGCATATCCCCAAGAAGAGGAATAGCTTCTTAAAGGTTGTGAATCAAAGGTCCTGAACACTTCATATGAAGAAATTTGAGTCAGAATGCCAAATACAGCAGCATGAAAGTCAGCAGGAAGGCCAGATAGGGAGGTTGAAAACAAAGCAAAGCAAAAGGGTAGTCATTCAGGAAGCCAGACTGAATGCAATCCCAAAAGCAAATGCAATGGCTCAATCAGTGTGGCTTAGTGAGGGCACCGTAGCAGAGGGAACAGGACACATGGATTAGTGAGCAGGTGTCACTATGTGAATTGGGTAAAAGCTGCATAGAAATACTCTGGTGCACAAAATCTGAGGGAGGCCATCTACAAGCACAGAAACTGCAGAAAGAGCTCCTAGGACGTCAGTCTTTTCACAATCACTCTCTGTTGGCCTTAGTTACATCTCAGGCTGTTGACAACTAAAGTTCTAAGTTTTCTCCTCTGCTTCCTGGGAGCTTGTATCACTGCCTTCTTATATGTTATCTACCTATATTTCCCTTTCCTCTGTTAAATCCTACCCAAAACATTTCACAGCCTCAATTCTTGGCCCTCTGCTCTTTCACCAGGTAAGAAATCTTGACATTGTGTCCTCAACGCTCTAGACCCCTTGTCTCCAGCTCTGACTCTGAATCTTCAGTTCAAATTCAACAGTTCCCTTGCATAAGCATTTGCTAAGTGCTAATTACGTTGTGCCAGGCACTCTGCTAAGAGACATCAAATCGCCTTACAAGACACTACCACTTGGAGGTGTCCTAACATCATTACAAACTCAAAAAGCCCAAAACATCTTTCAGCTTCACTATGAGCTTTCTGTGGCTTCACTGAGACCCCTTAGAATGTTCCTTACAAATATCCATGCTTTCGTTAGCATTATAAACATGAGTGGGCTTTGCTGAGATAAAGAGGCAGTTACCTCAGTAGCTTACAAAAAAAATAAAGTAGATTTCTCACTCAATATTACAGGTGGGCTAAGGTGCCCCCAACCCTCACTCCAAGATTCCCCATCTTGAGAAAGATCTGGACATGAGTTTTTGGAAATGTCAAGTAAGCATCTGGCATTCCTGTTGCTCCTAGCCAGTATCTAAAAGGCTACGGACTAACCTGGTGCTATCTGTGAAGGAGACAGGGATCTAAGCACCAGGGATATGAGCTCTGGCAAATGTTTCCATTCCCATCATGTGGCCCAGCAGCCAGGGTCCTCAAAGGATGAATCCTGAAGGATTGAATAGAAAGGCTTGACAATGGACATCCTTTGAATAAAGGCTTCACAAAGGGAGGAATCCCTAGTATGTTGCCACTGAAGAACTCTCACGGGACCTCTTTTTGTATAACCAATGAGGAAATTCTTCAGTGATGACTGTTACGAATTGCCTACCAGTATAATTTATAAGTGTTGGAATCAGATCATGTTAGGTTGAACTTTCCTCGACTTATCACTAACAGTGTGTCCTTGGGGAAGTAACCGTGTCTGGGACTAAAAATTCTTAATCCATAAAATAGTGAAACTCTTCTCAGAGTTGGGGTAAGATTAACAGAGTTGATGAAAATATTAAGGGTGTAAAATGCTTAATGTGATATTTCACTCATGCTAGTCAACAAGTAAATACAGCCATTTTAATCTCATTAAATAATTATTTACTGAGATCATATTATACTATTTATTGAGACCTTTATGTTAGGCACTATGTACATAATGACAAAATAGATAAGAAAACAGACCTGTTATAAAATAACTTACATATTAAAATACTTTAAAAAAAAACAATCTAGTTGGAAAAAATCTCCATCATTTGATTTACTTCAAGAACCCAAAGATTCTCCAGATCAAAATCTGAGAATAACTCAGTAACAATGCTAAGTGATATTCTTGTAGATCAAACCCAGCAGGGACAATACAGTTAAAAAAAAATATCTTGCATGACTCACTACTTGAACTTAAAAACATATTTCATCAGCAATCTCAGCATCTATTCATATATTAGAAAAAACCCTGGTTACCAAGATAATTACTTTTGACAATAGCCACTGAAATGTACACATGAATCATGTCTAATGATCATTCATAAAGATCTTACTAGTGATTTTTAAGTAGAAATTAGACCAGTTAATCAGTACTGCTCACAGAAGGCCACACAGACATACATATTCCATTGTCTTATCTAAACCAATGATACAGACCCTCAACCACTAATGAGTGACAGGACTAGCAGTGAAGGAACTCCTAATTGAGAAATATGAGACAATGTGAACCCCAAACCAATGTGTGGCAAGTTATTATAACCCATTGAATAAAACAGGAATCCATGAGGTTGTACTGATGTATATAAATCAATCAATCAATCAATCAATCAATCAATAATTGAAAGAGCAGGGAAAGTTTTTCTTATAGTAAAATGTTAACAAGTAAATGTAGAAACCAACAACTTAGAAATCACTGTTTGACAAATAGAGAAAGAACTGATTCTGGGAAAGAAGCATCAGTGGATGCCTAGTATAGTATAAAAAAAGTTTTTAAAGGAAGAAGATATGCATGCAGTCTTGAAAGGGCTCCTCAATAGAAAAAAAAAAAAATAGCAAGTTCACAGTGTAGGAAACTGAAAGATGTCCCTTTTGTGTCAAAGTTAGTATCAACTTTCATGGGACAAATCGCCTTCAAGAGGTTCCTAATGATGTATAAAATAAATGAAAGCAGTTTCTTAATAAGATGAATAAAAGACATGAAATCTAATGAGGTGCATGTCCATTAAAAATAACCTCAATTCATAGTGAGGAAATATTCCCAAATCAAAATTGAGGAATAATCTGAAAAATAACTAGTCTATATTCTTCAAAAACATCAAGATCTTGAAAAGCACACTAGTGGTGACCAATGAGTCATAGCTAAGTACAGGATGAAATCCTGATTTGTACCTGGAAAGGCTGTCTCAGCTATAAATGACATAATTGAGACAACAGTGAAACTATTTGAATAGAATCTTTACCTCAGGTAGTGGTACAGGTGTCAATTTCCTGGTTCTGATCAAGGTCACATGGTTATGTAGAGAATAACCAATGAGAAATGTAAAGGTACGGGAACAACATTATGCATTCCTGTCTCAAATGATCAAAAATAATGATATGTACATATAGAGAAAAAAACACAAAAAAATATGTATATGTAAAGAAAAGAGAGGAAATGATAAAGCAGATTTCTACATTAAAGTGAAAAAATACAGGGGTGTTCTCTATTATTTCTGCAACTTTTCTAAAATCTATAATGATTTCAAAATCACTTTCTAAGTGGCCTGAAATGTCAGGGATCCAAGAGATGATCAATTCAAAAGCCAGCTTTAATTCAACAGCTAGTTGAATTAAAAGAATAAACATTTCTTCAGTTTTGGTGGATTTTTAAGATCCCGAGTGACATACATGAACTAGGGACATGTAGTAGGAAAACAGACACTGAAACCAAGAGAATCATGTTCTTTAGAGAAGTTATCCCTGAAATAGTCTTCTGCAGGGGCTGAAGTGATTTACTTTCAGGTTTGGCCCAAATGTGTTAAGTAACATTTTCATGAATCAAATAGAGAAAATAAATTGGGAAGAGTAACACAGTATTAAGGGAAATGATGATATAAAGGCAGGGCTATCTTAGGATATCTTAGGATATCCTAAGATAACCTTTGTTATCTTAGGATAACAAAAATTTGTAAAGGACATCACAGTCATTTTAAATTTTAAATGCAGCTGTAAGACAGGCACCAGGTACAACAGTTCAGGTCAGCACCATTGTTTGTTCATTTCATTAAACATTAGCTTCATTTCATTAAATCTAAGAAATCAGTCTCTCTTGTAAGTAGTCCCTATACTTAATGAACATGTTTTAAAACTTGCTCACCATAGATGAATTCTCATCATTTAGTTATCTACTTATTTTTGTCTTTTCCCTCGCTAAATGTGTATACTTAATTTTACTTAGTTACAATTAATCAAGAATAAATGAAGAACAAATTTAAACTATTAGAGTAGAAAAGAGCAACAAATTATGAGTAGGATAAATTAGAAACTTGTCATTTTGTATCAAGAAAATTCTTTTTTCTTAATTTATTAAAACTTTTAAGAAGTAGAAGTTGGCATGTTATCATTAACCTCTGCAAGTTGATGGGTAGACAGAGATGATTGTGCTATGCTATGTCTCTTTTCCTCTCCACCTCCTAAATAGGCTTTTGAAAGTATCTAATTTACAGTTTCAGAAACACATGGATATTTGTTTTTTCAGGACTTTTTTGAGAACAATGGTATGCTACCTTTCTAAAGGCAAGTCTTCAAAATCTTCTAAGAGCTTATGATGGAGAATGATAAGCAGCACAAAGAGAAATTGACTTATTTTTGTATTTTGTGGAATTAATTTGGGGCACTTCAATTCAACCCATGTTTATAGATTGATCTATGGGCCAGAGATTAGTCTAAATGTTTTGGTGAACCAAAAATGAACAAGCTATAGTGACTACCCTGAATGAATTTACCATCTAGCACGTAGAGATAATCACCAGGCAGTAAGTATACAGAAACTATACTCTAAAAGGTACATTGACAAACATAAATATCTGGTGTGGTGTAGGCACCAAGGAATATCTGGTGTGGTGTAGGCACCAAGGAATCTCATCAATTGTCCATGGAAAAATTAGGATAATCTTCTCAGAAAAGGTCTCACACTAAAAATTAAACCCAATTTTGTTATATCAGTATTTATTATCAATAACTGCAAAACCACATGTAAATATAACTAAAATGAATAAGGTACAACATATTGTATAATTCAAAAGCTAACAAATAAATTTTTCAATATTTACCTCCACAACTTGTTGATAATATTTTCTTCCTAAGTAACCTCTCCATGATTTTTGAATTAAGGTTGCCACTCTGTGTAAATGCCTGGGTGAAAAATACATTTATTAATTTGCTTTCACTGAAACAAGAATATCTCTTAAATTACTGCTTAGTATTACTTTTCTATAATTTAAAAAAAATCAAATTCAAAGCCAAGCTTTTGTGTGCTTTTAAAGAGTAAACATTTTGCAATAGACTTAATCATTTCTAGAAGGAGAAAAAAAAGGTCTAAATCACTATTCATTTATTCACTTTTCTTTGGTGCTTATGATTACCTTTCAATACCTGTTCTCTAAAATATTGTTGAATGTTAACAATACAGGTCATAGCCACATGTTGAGAAATAAGCCAGACACAAATGATGCTATTCACATGTTGAGAAATAAGCCAGACACAAATGATGCTATTCACTGTAAGTACTCATAAAGCAATTCTTAATTATTTATTTATTTTCTTACACGGTTGTTAATTTTTGAACAGTGTTTGATTTCTCCCCTCAGGTGTAGTCCCTGTAGCACTTTTCTTTTTCATTCCTTCTTAACTCAGGATGATACTGTGATTTATAATAAGAAATATACATTTGCTCTATGTTCACATTTCTACACAGAACTTCTAAAACCCTTGAAATTCCCTAAGTAATGAAACAATGCAGGCATCTTCATTGTGTGAATGAGGTGACTCTGGGGTGACCTAAAAATGGGGGTTGGATGCCAATGGAATCACCCCATGGGACGTTGGAGCTCCCAGCCCCACCTCACAACTCTCCAGGGAGAGAAAAAGAAACTGAAGCTGGCTCAGTCATCTGGTAGCCTCTGATTACCTGTAAAGAAATCTCCATAAAAAGCCCAAAAGAGAGGCCTTAGAAAGCTCTGGGTTGGTAAACGCTGGGAGATATTAGGGAGACTGGCTCAGACGGATCACAGAAGTTCCATGACCATTTCCCATAACTTGCCCTATGCATTTCTTCCATTTGGGGGTTCATTTGTATCGTTATCATATTCTTTTATGATAAAGTAGTAACAAATGCTTCTCTGGGTTCTGTAAGATGCTCTACCAGATTAACCCAACCCCAAGGTGGGAGTCATTGGAACTTCCAATCTTTAGCCAGTTGGACAGAAGTAGGTAATAACCTGGGCTAGAACTGGTTGTCTGAAGTATGTGGTAGACCAGGGGTACAGTCTTGTGAGAATGAACCTCTAACCTGTGAAATCTGATGCTCTCTCCAGGTAGATAGCTTTATACTTGAGTTGAATTGTGAGACATACAATGGGAGTCCAGAGAATTGCTTTTTGGTAGTGTTAGAGGATGCCCCCATTCTGATTAGGACACAGAATTCTCTATCCATTACTGAATGAAAAAAAATACTCTTTGCTGCCATATTTCTAATTTGCATAGGGGCCCAAAGAGAAACTATACTTTAATTTGCATGTCTGATTCCTGCTAGCTTACATAAACAAGGAAGTATACAGCTCACCACTTGAGTTATTTTGGACTAGGCCTATCATTTTCTCTTCCTTATCAGGGCAATATTTTTTGGAACTGATGAGAGACTTAAGTCTAAGCACTAAAGAAAAAGTGGGTGGGAAGAGTTAAGATAGGGATAAAATTCAGCCTCGGCAATCAGAATGGAATACTTTTGTCATTATCTGCCTCTAATTACCCACAATTTGGCGAGGATTAGAATAGATTCCTCTTTTTTTTTTCCTTACCAGTCAACAATTCATTACTATGAATAGAAATCCTGTCACTTGTCACATCCTATGGACTTTGATGAAAAGTATCTAATCAAGTATGTTTAGGATATTGAGAATTTTTAAAAACAGAAATAGTCAATATAATCAGTTTTTGGTATGTAAGAAATGAGGAGCAAAACACAAGTTATATTTCTGAAAAGGACATCATACAATTTATTAACTTCATCACAAGTAACAAAAGTTATATGAAACAATACTACATGAAAAAATTACATTTGCTATGAAGTATATTTTTATGATATATCTGAGGTTTCCATGAAAAAATCAGTATACCTGATATATGCCCGAACTTGACATCCTCGAAACCAGCTCTGGATTTTAATTGCTGCATTATTTTCTTTTTTTCTAAACACATCCACAACTCTATTAAAAAAAAAAAAGTTTTTTTTAAAGTATTTCATTTATGAGTATACATTGTAATTATAAAGCAAATCAGCCAGTTAAACTTAATCTTCAATTGCTTCCTAAATGATAATTACAACCCAAATGTCATTTTAAATAAAATTAAAATATTAAATAAAGAAACCATCTCAAAAATCACGCGCTGTGTTTTAAAAATTAACCTTTCTCTTAGAGGCCACATGCTTTCAACAGCTCTCCATTTTTTATTTTTATAATCATTTATTTTGCAACTAATTAATTTGCCAATGATTTTACAAGGTAATTTTCTAAAGTAATGTGCTGTTTTGTCATTATTTTAAAAACATTATTATTTGAGTTTATTGGTTAAATGCCACTACACATATCACCCGAGATTAAAATGTTTGACTCTTTTACTCAATGCATCAGTTAAATGAATTGCTTCTAAAGTAAACTGAAGCCATCATAAAGCACCTGTTCCAGATAGAATTCTCAGAAGATCTTCTAAGTTGAAGGTGACAGAGGGCAGGGTCTTGGGGCTTATAAAGAGAAAAGAAACTCAGTCCTTAGATTTTACTGACTTATAGCAAGAAAAGGCTTAGATCAGAAAAAAAAAAAAATCTCCATTTTTTTCAGTGATTACAACTCTCTATCTCCTCCATTCAATAAAATCAGATGCTTAAGGTAATATACCCTAAAGGAGAAAGCTAACAACTTTGTGCAGTACTCATTATATTTGAGAAAAAGAAGAGGAACTTTGAAAAAAATTAAACCACCCAACTGAAAACCAACAAAAAAAACAAGCAATTTGCTTAAAAGAAAGTACAAACAACATAAAAGTTCAATTATTGCATGAAAAGACAGGAACACTCTCCAACTATGCCTTAGCAGTTTTGTCCTTAGAAGGTTTTTTTTTTTTTTTAACGTATCATTGCTTATACTATTAAAACAGCAGCTGCAGATAAATAATAGATAAACTGTAGCACATCCATAAACTGGAATACTACTTTGTCCTTAGAAAAAATTAAGTGGATCAATATGTCTTGACACAGAGACGCAACATTTTTGAAATGTTTCAAAAAATAAACAAAAGGAGTACATTATTATATGCTTTCAAATTTATAAAAAATAATTAACACTGCAAGTATAGGTGCCTTAATACACAGAAAAAGTTTCATTTTGTATAGATGAGGATATTAAAAGTGGTTGTCTTGAGGCCTCCCTGGTGGCTCAAGGGGTTAAGCACTGCACTATGAAGCAATCTACATCCTCTGCAGCACAAGTTCAATCCCCGGCCAGCCAGGGGCCAACCCACATGGCGCAGCAGACCTCTTTTGTCTCACCCGCTGCTCCCCTCGGCAGTGTATTTCAGTCAGTCTGCCTGTTCTGTTCCCCACTCTGTCTCTGGTGAATCCTCTCACCCCCTGCACCTCTGGCCTGTATCCCAGCTCTTGTATGCATAAATAAATCAATCTTTAAAAAAATAGTGGTTGTCGGGCCTCCCCGGTGGCACAGCGGTTGAGCGCTGCCTTGCAAAGCTGCCCTCAGCCCCTGCAGCGCCAGTTCAATCCCTGGCCTCCCGGCGAGGGTCCCACATGGCGCGCAGACCTCTCCTGCCGCCTGGTGCTCCCCTCAGCAGTGTACTTCAGTCTGCCTGCTCTGCTCCCCGCTCTGGCTCTGGTGAATTCTCTCACCCTCCCACGCTTCTGACTGTACCCAGTGCTTGTATAAATAAATAAATCTTTAGAAAAAAAAATAGTGGTTGTCTTTAGAAAACAAAATTTGAAGGGAAAAATTCACTGAATTAGCTTCAGCTTTTTTTCAATTATTTTATAATAGTTGTGTGATAGTTTTATTTTTATTTTATTTATTTTTTTACATCATTGTTCATTTTTAAACAATATTTGCTTCCCCCCATTCTTCAATTTATTTTTTACATCATTGGACAGTTTTAAATTAAAAATGAGATACACTAATACAATCTTTCAGAAAATTTTGAATATATAGTCACATTTAAGGGAAGCATTAGCCTGATCAAGGCATTAAATCCTAAGGAATATGGTCCTGTATTGTAATATTACAAGAACCATGGCCTAAGCTGGTTTAAGGTCTGAGGTAGTGAACTTCACTCTAGCTTTGCAGAAATGACCTTGGTCCTAGTCCCACAGTGCCCGCACTGGATGGGTAACTTGGGACATGCTTTTTTTTTTTTTTTAAGATTTATTTATTTATTTATATAAGCACTGGGTACAGTCAGAAGCACAGGAGGGTGAGAGAATTCACCAGAGCCAGAGCGGGGAACAGAACAGGCAGGCTGACGAAGTACACTGATGAGGGGAGCAGTGGGCGCGGCAGGAGAGGTCTGTCTCGCCACGTGGGACCCTCACCCGGTGGCCGGGGATCGAACCAGTGCCACAGAGGCTGCGGGCAGCTTCGCAGCCCAGCACTCAACCGCGGAGGCCCTGGAGCATGCTTTTTGACCCAAAATTCAGTTTCTTCTGTAAGATTTCAATAACATTACATCACAGGTATATTTGTTGGCCTATCTTAAAGAACCTAGAAGATTAGCAATAAGATGCTCTCAATAAATAATAATTGTTACATTATTATATAAGGATGGGCATATCTGTAGATGGCATGAAGAAAAAAGTAACTACCAGTTTGTTAATGTCATATTCATTAAATCAAAATATAACTTACACATTCTAAACCATGTATAATTTAGCTTGGTATTTAAAGATTACATAAGACTACTTCGAGCATAAGTTACACATAAACTTACAAACTAACACAAAATGAAAACAAAAGCAGTAGTAAATGAAAGTATGTAATAAGTGAAATGCTGTGTAAAAAGTTAAGATCTGCAATAAACATAGGGGTACAGGTGTCCTAAACCTGGAAACAACCCAAATGTCTAAAAATAGATGACTGGATCAAGAAGATGTGGTATATATATATATATATATATATATACATAATGGAATATTACTCAGCAATCGAAAAAAATAAACTTATGCCATTGACAGCAACATGGATGGAGCTAGAAGGAATTATGCTCATTGAAATAAGTTAGAAAGAAAAAGAAAAATATCTGTTGGTTTCACTTTAGGAGGAATATAAGCGAATCAAATAAGACATCAGTGTAAAATAAAAAGTAACAATACAAAACACAATGAAACAAAACAGACAATTATAAACCAGAGACATCCTACAGGGGTGGAGGAGGGAGAGGGATCAGCAGGTGGGAGCAAGGAGCACAGGGGACTGTGGTGATGGTGCATGGGTGCATTGGTGAACGAAATTCTATGGGGAGAGGGGCGAGGGGGAAGCAAATATTGTTTAAAAACGAACAATGATGTAAAAAATACATAATTAAAAAAAGGTAAGATCTGGAAAACTCAGAAGTAGAAGAGGTTGTTTTCAGGAAATAAGCCTTGGGGGAAAGGGAGTCAAGGAAGTATTTGAGGGTGCCCTGAGTGTGGGTAGCTCTCTTGATCTGTACATGTAAAACATTTTAACAACTGTTCTGGGATACTTCTCAGGTACCTCAAATTCAGTGTATCTAAAGGGACTCACTCACCCCTCCTTGTCACATATGCGTCCTCTATTCTCCCCGGGAGTACCTCTTATTTCTGTAATCCTATAACTCTTTCTCATGAATGGCAACGTGACCCATTCAGCGGCTCACAATAAAAGCTCAAAGTTAGTTCAGGCCTTCATCATTTTAAGATGAGTTACTTGCAAAAATCTTTTTCCCAGGTTCTAGTCATCTTTTGCTCTAGTCCATCCTGCAATCTAGCGAATGGCCTTCATAAAACACAAATTTAATACCACTTTTTCTTAGAATCCTTTCTTATCAACCCCACAAAATATTCCTTGTCTGCTGATTGAAGTCCAAAGCCTTTAGAATGTCAAGGGCCTTCCGCATCTAGCCCAGACTTACTGTCATGTGTCCTATTACCTCTTCACTTGTCCAGCCTATGACTCATTCATTTCCACAGCTCTCCAAACAGACCATGTTCTCTCGTAGACTCCTTATCACAGATATCTCTCTTATCACAAAGCTACGTCTCTTCTTGAAATGATTTTTTTACAACTAAATTTCCAGAAAGATTTATCTTTATAGTATTCTGAAATTTCTTCTCCTTACTATTATAACACTTTTCTTGAGAGTTGGGCTTATGTATTATTCATAATTGTATCCCAATGCACAGAATTGTGTCTGATTCATGGAGGAGCTAAACAAATGGTTGTGGAAAGAAGGTAGGGAGGGAGGGAAAAGAAATGTTAACATTTGAAGCCAAGGCACAAGGCAAGGCTCTTAAACAGTTTTCAGAATTTTGTGCATAATATAAAAGGATATTGGACCCCTTAATATCAATCCTCATGGTCCTGAAACTACATATCTTCAAGCTTAATAATCTTTGAATCAGAAATACTTACAGTGAAAGAGGTTAAATAAGGAGAAAAAAAAAACACAAAGCCTAATTATAAGACATAAATATTTCTCCATGTCACAGATGTTCATGAAGAGGCTTTAGGAAGGGAGACAAAATTAAGCCGTGCCAGGAAAAGAACATTGCTGTTTCAGGGAGTTTTAGGTTAGAGGAAATCTTTCACTTTTCAAAACTTATTCTAGTTAAAATATGAGGTAATAGTACCAGATATAAAATGCCACTTATGGCATAAATAGAAAATATGTTACAATGCAAGATTCAGTAGAGCAGGCAATTCAAAGTAGAATGTGAAGAAAATAAAGAATAGTTTCAACCCATGAGGCTGATAAAAGGTGAAATTCAAGACAATGGAAGAAAGTAGTTGTGTAACTTTTTTTTTTACCATTAATATGCTCAGTAGATCTGATTTCCTTCTTAGTTTACTGTTTTGGTTACTAAAAACATTTGCTTTTCCTTCCTTCAAAAATTATGAATGACATATACAGATAAACCTAATATTTCTTTTGAACTAATGCACCAGTTTGAACATACTCTTTATTTATAATT